GGGTGGAGATGCCATCCAAATAAATCTCCATTTGATCCATAATGAGCGGAGACTAAATCTCTCTCCTCACACCCACCAGACACTCCTCAACACAATCTCACTGCTTTCTCAGCACCGCATTCATTCAGTGATCAACTGCTGAGGAAACATTCAGTCAGAGCCACACTACAGCTGACAGAGAGCGCCGTCTCACCCTGCCCTCGGATTTTACAATGTTTTTGTTTGTTAAAGCTGCAGAAAATCAGACATGTTAGGCCATGTGTTTGTGGCAGAGTAGGACACAGATGTGTTCTCACTCAGGGATTTTTAAAGAAAGAGCAGTTGTTGTGTATATATGGGGGCTGAAGATGACATGCACCATGGGATATACACACCTCAACAGCTGTAACAGAAAACAATGTCTGTACTGCATGTGATAGGCTACAAATGGCCTTTTGTGTGGGTTCATATTGTATTAATCAGAGATAAACACGTGTAATTTTGCTATGGCGAGTGACCCGGAAAATGTCTCAGACCGTTGTGTGACAAGATATGCTATTTCTTAGATGCAGAGATGTGTTCTTATAGAAATGGCTTTGATATATATAGTGAAGAACAGACAAAACTGTCAATAACAAGCTTTTCAAAGAACATGCATATGAGGAATTTATTCCACCTTCTGAGTTTAGACGTTATATTGTGGCTAATATTTGGCCGATTATCTAGCTAGGTGGTTGCTAGGGTGTTGCTAGGCATTTGTTTGTTTTGCTAAGAAGTTATGTCTTGCTTAGTCTCTCATTGCCAGACCTTCAGACTGATTCTTTGAATGGCCAAGGCCCGCCCAAGAGGCCATATGACTGACAGATAAAGCAACCAATCCCGTTTCGTTTCGTGTCGCATCATGTTTTGGGGCGTGGAAATGTCCCACAATAACAAATCGTGTGTAAAACTCTTGGACAAATTTTAAAAAGTCTATAACTTTAGAACTTTACTTATTTCACATACTTTTGAAAATTCAGCTTTTAGTTGATCGTGATAAGCGCTCATTGTCACAGTTGTAAACAAGACGGCTTTCTTCTTCATGAGGGGGTTTGGCGTCACGGCATCTTTGTTTCCAGGCGGAACATTAAGGAACGCGACACACACGTCTCCCGGAAATCCTGTATAATTCAACCAATCTGATGATGACGACTTCGAAACTCCCAAAGTGTTTCAAATTTTGTGTGCTGTATGCATCAGACGTTCAGCCAACGGTCCGTGGGCTAGCGTGACGTCTGAGGCTGAGACTAGGTCTTGCTAGGCAGTTGTAAGGTTGTTAGATGGACATTGCTAAGGCTGTTTTTCTGGGTAGTTGATAGGGTGTTGCTATGCGGTTTTGGGTTTCTAGTAACATGGTTGATAGAGTGTTCTGGATAGTTGCTAGGAGGTTGCTAGGGTGTTTCGTCTTTCAAAAAAAACATCTGGATGGTTTGGAAAATATTAGCACATTTGCACAGTAAAGGTATCATTCTTGTCTGTAGCACAACAAGTTTAGTACTTCAATAGATTAAGCAATAGACATAGTTGTCGAGTGTAATGTCAGCGTTGGCTCATGAATCATTTGCACTTTTGCGCCTGTGTATTAAACAGCTGAATTGCTAACAGAGAGTGTATCGCTCCTCCCTTGAAGTGCAAGATGACGTTTACATGCTACATTCTACAGATGTGTGTTTGTGCTCGTGTGAAACTTCTGTCTTTCTCTAGTGGTTCACTCTTCTTACTATCTAATACATTTGCAATTATTTATTAATGGCAACATTGCACAGTAGTAGTTTCAATAAATAATAAAAAACTGGCTAATAGCATCTGCTAGTGTTAAGAGAAAGCACCACGCCTGCACAATAACGGTGTGCTTGTTCCTCAGGACATATTCCCAACAGCCCGCAAAACACAAAGAGGATGATGAGAGAGAGGAATGGGATAATTCCAGTAATCATAGCTTTCGGAGGACGCGCTCAGAAGGGAGGAGACAGTGAAGTTATAGATGTGTCTGGGGTGGGTCTGCATTTCTGAAGCAGTGGGTCTGGACATGTGTGAATGTATGCTATGAGTTAACAGATCCAAGCGTGTGACAGCGATCCACCCTAATCTCAAATGCAAGCCTGCTGTGAGTCAAGTCGCAATGCTACAATATATCTTTTTCTGTACTAACACGAATGCAGTGAGCTTAAGTCCAAACTGGCCCAATGCGTCTGGCACCTGTTGATTCCTCTGCGATTCATCTTTCACGTCTAGTACTCTGTTGTCATGGTAACCGCGGGCTGCGTTGAGAAGTGTACCCTGAGGCCACGGACTTGATTTAGTAAGATCGAGCCTGGTCGAGGTACAGGAGACAAAAGAAGATTTGTTTTGCTCTCCGCTCTCTGCACGCGGGCCAACAAGGTAGCATTCCTCCGCTTCAGTACGGATGGGAATGGGGCAGAAGAATGCTTCAGAGTTGGCCAGCACTGTTTGAGAGTTTTTGAAGAACAGAAAAACAGTAGATCAAGAGGCTTACAAGAGCAGGTGGAAAGAAAACGGATATCAAACTTTAGAAGATTCAAGGTTGGGACTTCACTTTTTTTTTTTTTTTTTTTTTTTTTATAACCTGTGCCACAAGGTTTTGTAATCTATGTTGTCGGAAAATTTACACATTTCAAACTCTGTTTGTGGCCTAAATATCAAATGACTCATGCAAGTTGGTGTTCTCAGGGTGGTTTCTAATTATTTATTTAGATGGCTCAAATGCCATGTGGCTTCTTTCAGAAACGTACATCTCACTTTATTCTGTCTCTGGGTGTTAAAGGGGTCATATGATGCTGCTAAAAAGAACATTATTTTGTGTATTTGGTGTAATGAAATGTGTTTATACGGTTTAAAGTTAAAAAAACACATTATTTTCCACATACTGTACATTATTGTTTCTCCTCTATGCCCCGCCTTTCTGAAACGCATCGATTTTTACAAAGCTCATCGGTCTGAAAAGCGAGGTGTGCTGTGATTGGCCAGCTATCCAGTGCGTTGTGATTGTTAGAACGAGCCGTTTTAGGTAGGTGTGGCTGACTCTTAACTTTTATAAAGAATATCTCTTTGGATTTGAGACTTTAGTCTTTGCAACTTTACAGATCTTCTTTATGCACCAAGAGCTTGTAACACTCCAAAGAGAAAGGAAAAATTTAAATCGCATCTTATGACCCCTTTAAAAATAGTTGTATGTGAATGTTATGAAAATGTTAATTTCACCCCAAAATCAAAATGAAAAAAGTATTAGAAATAACTTGGATGTATAACTTTTGAACTTAACTTTTGAAGATGTTTTACATGCAGAAATGTATATTTTCATTACAATATTGACAATTTGGGAAGGAAACAAATGCCATTGTGGCATTATTGCTATAAAAATAACACTACAATGCATAAAAACCTTTATTTAGAATTTGGGGCAAAATATGACCCTGGCATGCTCCAGGCTCACTTTAAAGGGGTCATGAACTGCCTTTTTTATTGTTTTGTACTGTTCTCTGAGGTCCACTTATATTGTTATCAATATTTTTACCTAGAAAAACATAATTCAGAAGTAATAGGCTATTTTCTGTCCTGTTTTGACCCCTTCATCAGTACGCTGTCTTTGAATAGGCGTGGAGGATTGTCGACTCTGAAGTAAACACCCACTGCTATGATTGGCTAACAGTTGTGTATGTTTGACAGACAGCCTTCATAGATGAACGCTGCTGTGATTTAGGTTAAAAACGCATAAATATTCAGTACATATCAAACAATCTGTAATAACAGACAAAGCAATAGTGACCACGTAATAAAAACCTTTACTCACACTTGTGTTGCGTCATTACTGTCGGATCCGATATATTCACAGCATCGTCTTTTAGATTCAATCTTTCTGAAAATCCTGTGTCGAATTGTGCCTTGTTTGTAAACTAATCTGTGGTAAAATGAAGTGAACAAATTACTAAGTTCTTACTGAAACAGGTGTTGATCTTCTGTGGAGGCGGGGTTTAGCCACACTATTACGTCATAAAGTGGCACATTCCACAAGCTGTCGTTTTGGCAGATTGGCTTCAATATATGAGCTGTTTTTAGACTAATAAGAAAGTTTTGAGTTCTGACACTTACAGGATGTTTTTATAGTACAATGTCCTCTTATATGTCAAAAGATCAAGGGGATTTTGATTTCTCAGTTCATGACCCCTTTAATTCTATTCATTCTCATTTAAGCATGACTTTAAGGCCTGGAGATAGAGCATTCATCACTTGGTATTTGGCAGCTGCTAAATGGTCTGCTTAGTAGCTTAGTACTGCTATTAAATGTTTTCATAAGTTAATGCGGTAGACTTTACCATAGAATTCCCTCACAAAGGGTGTAATATGCAACAGTCAAAGTGCAAAGAACCAACATGTCTCGCTTATAATAATCTCACAAACAGCGGTTCATTCAATATCTGCATGGCTGAAGCATTTGGATACTACACCTTGCCTTAGCAGCGCCATCTGTTCCTGCTGTGGGGCTTCAAAGTGGAGTCAGACACACATGCAAGCACATGCAGTCTCTGAACAACTACGTTCTGCCTGTCTGTTCCCTTAAGCATTCATCTGCCAAAATGCCTTTGAAGAGAGCCAGCAGTGCATTTAATTGGAGCAGAGCTATGAGTCTATCAACCTCCTGCTAATAATAACTCTTGAAATTTGCTTACCCACTGGAGCTGATGTTCAATCACGATTTCATGTCTCATGGCTGGGTTGGAGCAATCAGGTAGAAACAATTAACGTAGAAAATAACTTGAGTTTTCTTTATGGCTGTATTTTGGACCTTATTTGAGGAGTTTAGACTCAGATTTTGTCTACTCAAGTTCTGAATTCCATAGATGATTTTTTTAACTAAGTATTTCAGTACTTAAAGTTGGGACAAAGTTTGTTGTAATGTAATCTTTTTCAGACGTGAAGACACATTGCATTAACTTGTCACTATTGCTGTTTTGTCATTTCAGAATCCAGACGTTACCATGCATTGCTGATGTAAGCTGATCTGTGTTCAGTGTCTCTGATGGAGCTGAAAGTTTGGGTGGATGGAGTTGTACGAGTGGTTTGCGGCCTGTCAGAAGAGACATCATGTCAGGACGTAGTCATTGCACTCGCCCAAGCCATTGGTAAGTACCTCTGAAAAGGAACTTCAGGTGGTGAGGTTAGACCAGGGTTTCCCAAATCCGGCCCTGGAGGGCCACTGACTTGCAGAGTTTAACTCCAAACCTAATCAAAAACACCTGAGCGAGCTTATCAAGGTCTACAGAGTTACTAAAAAAATTATAGAAAAGTAAGCTTGATCAGATTTCAAGTTAAACTCTGCAGGGAAGTGGCCTTCCAGGGCCAGATTTGAGGAACCTTGGGCTAGACCTTTAAAGATCTGGGCTAGTAACCAGTAGGTTGTAGGTTAGAGGCACACAAAGTGGTGGTCCATGAGCCCTTGCCAAAATGGCCTTCAGCAAGACACTTGAAGTAACCTTAGGACAGTTCCCCTAGATCCAGTGGGATTGTCCACAAAATAATAGTACATATTGTTGGACTCTAACTACCCCTGTGCTCTCTACAGGCCAGACGGGTCGTTACATTCTCATTCAGAGACTGAGGGACACCGAGCGCCAACTTCTGGCCAATGAGCGCCCACTGGAGTCCCTGGCCAAACTGGGCCAACACAGCAGCGAGGTGCAGTTCTTCCTGCGGCGGACCGGTCCCAGTAGCAGTGAAGAGCAAAGTCTGCATAACCGCACCCTCCCTCACTCCAAGCCTTCCACATCAGAACCCAAACGGGGATTGCCAAAGAAATCTTATACCTTCAACTTGGGCCCCTCCAGTTCTCCCCGTGTGAAAACTAAGGACTCTCATACAACACCTTCTCCTGAACAGAGGGCGTCCCCAGTTCCACACACGCAGTACCTTCCGGGGCCATCTAAAGAGGAGGTGCTCCGGCATGTTCTCCAGCAGCGGGAGCAGCTACATGCCTTCGAGTCCCAGCTGTTGGCAGTCGACAAGGAATGCGAGACTTGGGAACAGTCGTCTGCTGAGGAGTCATCCCTGCAGGCAGAGATGGAAGTTTTGGAGAAGACCCTGTGGAAGAACCAGCAGGAGTTTGTGGACAAGGAGTTCTGGGAAGAGGAACTAAGGATAGAGACCGAAAGGGAGTGTGGGATGAAGCGCCGGTTAGGAGAGCTGCATGCTAAACTGGATGATTGTGGGCAAAAGTTGCACGAATTCAACACTCGCGCCATGCAGCTTGAGGAAGACATTCGGAGAGAAATGCTACAGGCGGACATCTTGCCCACCCAGTCCAATTCAAAAGACTCTTTGGGGGTAGTCGAGGCAGATCTTCAAAATCGACAAAAGCAGGGGGAGGAATTGGAGGCGGAGCTTTTAGAGCTTGAGAAGGCTTTGGGGAGGGCGGAGACTCTGCTGAAGGTAAGCAGAGAGGGCGTGGCTCTAGAGAGAGGCTTGTAGCTGTTGGCTGCGAATGCAGGAGAGTGGAGGTGTATGATTAATGAACTGAAAATTTGAAAGTGAACAAAGGTACTCATCTTTTGAAATTATTCATATGAACCTTAGTTCACACTCAGTTCAAACTTATGGATTCTGACTTTTCTGTGCACAAAAACAAATGTTTTTATTTGGACACACATGCATTTCTTTTATGTCCTGTGCATTTTATGCATTGAAAGGACAAAATAAAGGTGTATACCTATTGAATGAGTTTCTTTTCCTGCTGGGCATGCATGAATTTCAAACTGTACATAATTATGCATCAGCCTCAGTTTTATAACAGCATTTCAGTATTCCAGTGACTTAAATCAAAGACTTGCAAGTCTGTGAAGATGGTCTAAACTACTTAATACCACAGTGCCACTCAAAAGCCTTCCTTTATGTGTTCTTCCAGAAAGCAAAGAAATCAAACATGACTAACCGGATCTTACATAATCAGAATCTATTCCTCTTAGACAAGTCATGCATGCAAATTAGGTTGATCCATCAACAGAACATGGTGAATTATCATAGTTTTCAAATAGCAACTCAGGTGATTACTTACTTACATACTTTACATACTTTACATACTTTGTTGTTATCATTGACTTGTCTGTATTTGAATTTGGCTTGTCTTGTTAAACAAATGAAAACTACAACTGGAAAGGTGTCAAACGTACCCATAGAGAACAAATCCTAGGATTACTGTAATCAGAGCCACAGGGCACAACTTGGCTGTTGTTGCTGTTAAAACATGGTGCCCCCTTGTGACTACAGGTGGAATTACAATAAAGAAGAAAACGAAAAGACGCAAAATTGCTGGTTATGATGTTGTATTCAGACAACACGCAATGAAAAGTGTACAGGAATTGATTAAATGTATTAATTAAAGAATTGCTGCTAAAATTTTAAAACAAAATATAAATTAAAAAAACATTCAAATCATAAATTAATACAAATATATTCTAAAACGTATCCAATAGTAAGTTGTTGGCCACATACTACAATGCAAAAACAATTATAGCTTTTAATAATTCGTATTTATAATTAAACTGTTTTTATTCTAGTAAGCAGGCTGTTTGTGATTGTCTGTTCTCTCTGAGTGTAGGCTAAGCAGGAGGAAGTGGAGGAGTTGAATAAGGAGCTGAGACAGTGTAATTTACAACAGTTTATCCAGCAGGCTGGAGCCCTGCCTATTCATACTCAGCCCCGCACAGACCTCAGTGAACACCCAGAACAACTGGACCTGACTCAACAACAGCAGGACAAACACAAAGACAGTGGTATGGCCTCCACACACACACACACACACACACACACAATCTACTGCAGGTACATATACTTAACTGAACAGAGAAAATCAATTAATAATGGAATACTAGCGTACTGTTTACTGCATACTACACATTATATACTGTGTACTGCCAACTAATTGTAGTTTACTACATTTGCTATAATGTGCAGTATACAGAATACACTCGGTGGTATACAGTAATATATCCCACAATGCAATGTGCTCAACTTGACCCTACATTTTTGATGTAACAACTGAACTGCAAACATATGATCTGTGGTTTTAAATGGTTGACTTTAACAGCATGCTACCATTACTATTTCTAGTAGTATGCTACAGTATAACCTGCACATTTGAAGATTTTTAAAACAAAATTGCACTAAAAATGAAAGATAATCACCTTATCACCGGATGATGTTTGCTAAATTCAAAGGAAACATTTGACGTTAAGAGGTAAAGTGACATTGTAGATTTAATACAGTTTCAAATGTTTATACTTGAATAATGCATACTGTTTGACATGCTATTTTTTTATAGCAGTCAGTATACAGTATATACTTTCAGTATGCAGTATACAATGCTTAATTTTTTCACTGATTCACATTACATCATTATGTTTGTTTATGCATAATTATTCAGAACATAGCATCCAGTCTTCTTGAATTTATGCTGAAATTTCACTTTAGTGTGAATATGTCTTATGTAAAGAAAGAGATGCTAAACATCTCAGCTCATTTCTTACACTGGTTACAATATTCCTTGTAGTGATTTCTGGTTGTACACTGAACAAATATTACGGTCATATGGTGGTTAATAGCTAGTACAGACATTTGTGTGTTTATATGGACTTATGTTGTTATTGTTGTATATTTTACTCCATATTTCCCACAGATTCGCCCCCACGTCCCACTGCCAAGCAGTTCCTGGGTCACCCGCGCAACCTGCAGCACCCCCTGGTGTCCAGCCTGAACCCTGAGGGTGTGTATGTGTGACAGATGCTGCCGCTGCTGCTGCTTCCCTGCCTGCACCCCCAGCTGCCACACACACGCCCGTGGCAGCAGCCCTTTCTGGGTGACGGTGCCTGCATGGTGGCCCTCCTTAACCGCCCTCTTCTGATCAACAGGCCTGATTATTGTAGCACTTTAGCTGAAAGGCACTGCGTCAACTAATTTACACAACATAACCGTAGTTCAATCCAAAACTGATATATTTTCAGTCACTGTATATTAGTGCTATTAATGTGCAGTATATGCTTATTTGTCTGTAAATATAGATGTTACATATTACAATGCTATGAAGTCAGTATGTAGTGCCTTTTAAAAAGAAGTGTTACCACAACCTGTGCTCTTCAACACTTTAGTTTAAGGGATAGTGGGTTGGTCTTAAATTACATCTTGACAAGCTGCTAAAAACTTTTGTTGAAGTCGAGATATTTTTGCTTACGAAGATGTAATTTAACTTCAAATTTGATGCAAACAAAAGTGTTTCTGCCATGTTCCCTTGAGTTCTACACTCCTTGTCTTCTTTTCGCTCTTCTGTCCCAGTTTGGTGTCCTTACGTTTTGAGTCCTAACAGCTGTTTTGCTGATTTATAGTGCAGCTGTGTGTGTGTGTATGTGTGTGTGTATTATTAAAGGGATATTTCATCCATTAAATAAAATTTTTCAGTTGTCATTTACTTTACTTGGTGTTGCAAACCTATATGTAGGACATTTTGAAGAATGTTCACGCTGCTCTTTTCCAACCAGGAACGTTTTCCCAGACTTCTGTGGTGAGCTGGACTCAGCATAGCTTTGACACGTTTAGTGTCATTGATGTCCAACTGGGGCGACATCTATGTGAGAAGTTTGAATATGCGTAAATGCATATAGATTATCATTTAATAATGACTTCAGTTTGGGTCTCTTTCGCACACAAATATATCATGTGACTTCTGAAGGCTTCTAAACTTGAAATATAGTGCAAAAAAGTCGCATTGGACACTTTTATGATACTTTAATGGATTGTTTTCATCAGGACTGGATTCATCAAAATCTAAGATAAAGTCTAAATTTCATAATCTTTTTGAGAAGAAAATGAAAGGTGATATTTAATTGTATGGTGGTATTTGTTGAACAAGTTGAAAAAAAATCATCTCTAATAATAGTAATAATGTATGATATGTAGCTAGTCTTATGTTGTAATGCTTAATGTTCAAATAACCCAATAAATTCATTAAACGTCTTACCTTTGTGGATTTTAGGCAAGTTGGAAGTTATCCACACTTTACAGTGAATTTCAAGAACGTTGTTTCAGGATTTCAATTACAGCTTCTGTTTTGTCTTTAAAACAATCTTAAGAAAAAAAATAAAAACATTCTTAAGAAATGCACTATTAATTGCACTATTCTTAATTTAGAATAGAATATATTTTATTCATAAGAATAAAAGAGCCCGTTTACTTCATGCTTTTGAATGGAAAAGCAGCAGCATGAACATTCTGCTAATTATCTCCTTTTGTGTTTTACGTAATAAAGGAAGTCATATGATTTTGGACATCGTGAGGGCGAGTAAATGATGACAGATCTTCGTTTTTGGGTGATCTATCCCTTTGGCACATCTAATGACAGGATGGCTTTCATGTGTGAGCTCGTCTCCTGAAAGAATATTTGTTCAAGATGTGTTGAGTGGACAATGATCCAAACAGTCTGAATGTTAGTACAATAGATTGTGAACACTGTACATAAAACACTTGTTTTTAAAGCATCTGTGGCTTTTGATTGTGAACCACCAGTATTCAAAAATAAAAACTATTTCTGTAGCTACTCGTATAGCCTACTTTTAAACGATTACAAAACGGAGACTTTTTGGAAGTTGGACCTGTTGCTGACTGAATTATTCTGAGGGGAAACTTCCCCATGATGACATTGTCTTTGTATAAACAACACATAAATGACAAAACCTCATATTTTAGTAGAGGTTTATCCAGTGCTTGATTGTTCTTCTGGTCTGTAGCCGTTACTTTCGGGACACTCTGAGTGAACCTGCAAAGTAGGCCTGCGACTGCGGGAACGTCTCCGTGTGTATTTGCTATTTCCAAAGAACAAATTACATCAAATTCATGATTCCCACACATTATCAATGCCTTGTGCTATATGATTGAGGCAGTATGTTGCCGGTTTGGCGAGAACTAAAACTCAGGGTTCATACACAGTAGAGTGTGACGTTCGGATATTTCTCTGGGTTCGAGGTTTCTTTCTGTTCTCTCTCAGCTGCTGTGCTGTGTGCATGCATGTGTCTGAAAGCCCGCAGTGGCGTATTTTTGTACTTACCATGATTGGACGACCCAACAGCATCACTCAGTGTACTTTTCTGTGTGTCTTGCAGTCCTGACATCCAGAGAATCGGCTTGGCGGTAATAAAGCTGAAGCACAGGGCTAAGGATTTATAATGACTTTCTGCTTAACTCTGCTGTCTTAACTGTCGTCTGTATAACCGTTTATGTTATATATTTACTACTTTTTTTGGTACATTTCAAAACATGTATTTACTGTAAAATATTACCAGATTTTATCTCGAGAACTTTTACTTGTGTGTACGTATTTAAGTACAATAAAGACTTAAATGTGCATTGTGTCTCAGATGATTCCCGTGTGATGGTTTGAGGCTCACAGTTCAGTCATCGTTCATCGTTTGCTATTTTCTATCACTGATTCACAAAGGTCAGATGGTAAGTGAAAGCAAACACGGGATGTTTTCTAACACTTAAACGTGGTTTAGTAATAAACATGTTAGGGCTAAAATGAGTATTCCCATATCACACACCTGTCGTATATACCAGGGTTAAAGGGTTAGTTCACCCAAAAATGAAAATTAGGCTGTGTTTTACTCACCCCTGAGGCATCCTAGGTGTATATGACTTTCTTCTTTCAGACGAATCCAGTCGGAGTTATATTAAAAACTGTCTTTGATCTTTCAAGCTGTTTAATGCCAGTCAGCGGGTGTTGCATGCATCAGTCCAAAAGAAGTTAAATAAAAAGCGCCCATCCATAAAAAAAAAAATGTCTCACACGGCTCCGGGGGGTGAACAAAGGCCTCCTGTAGCGAATCGATGCGTTTTTGTAAGAAAAATATCCATATTCAAAACGTAATAATCACTGTAATCTAGCTTGCGCTCTCTGTTGTACACTGGAAGCAGTTCCGGGCGGATGACGTATGAGGTCGAAAGAAGAAAGTCATATACACCTAGGATGCCGAGGGTAAGTAAAACACAAGCTAATTTTAATTTTTGGGTGAACTAACCCTTTAATATAGTTAACTAAAACTATACCTAAAACTAATACAGAAATAAAAATGTATAAAAATATAAACTGATAAAAATGGCAAAAACTAACAACAAAATTACTAAACCTTTTACAAAAATTAAAATGAAAACAGAAAAATTTAAATTATAATAGTATCTCACTGGTGTCCAAATGTCCACTAGAGACCACTTAGTTTTTCTCATTACAACTTATATTAAAATGCAAATTTGAGTAAAAATAAATAAATACATAATAAGTATCATATTTTCTTAGTATTATGCATTATCATACTCAAGCTGACCTTACCTCCACAAATAAGTTTTTATATATTATTTTAAAAAATATTATTTTTAGATTATATATATACTTATATAATTAAGTTACTTAATATTACATTTACATTTAGTCATTTAGCAGACGCTTTTATCCAAAGCGACTTACAAATGAGGACAATAGAAGCAAACATATTAATTAATCATTAATATGTAATAATAAATTAGAAATATATAAAATCATTAATATTAACAAATATATTTCTATATTATGTAATAAATGTAATATTTAATATCTATACTTTTAATATAATATTTCATTTATTTAAAATTTGCAAAGATATTTTCATATTTTTTTCCCCCAGTAATTTGCATATTATAATTGTCATATATATGTTATTAGATTTTTACATCCTTACCTATTCATGTTTTGGTTTTAAGTTTAGAAGACACTAACTCATGAACACATTACTTTATCAAGATAATTCAAGTGACAAAAAAAAAAAAAACTTCAACTGACCTCCACAAGTAATTATAATAAACATATACATTTGATCATATATGGTTCTTGATCTTAAAAGTTTACAGGAAACACTGAACTAAACCCCAAACCACATGATGTATAAAAATCCATAAAGACGTGTTTTTATAAAGGGACTGCTACAATTTCAGTCATTAGTCTGATCTGTTCTTTCTCACGGCACCACAAAGGCGTCCACATAACTGCTGTCATATTTTTCTGAAAGTCTTCTTTAAACATGCCTGAGCAGTATGATACAGTAAAAACCCCAGTGAATTAGAAGGTGTTTGTCTGAGCTGCTTGGCTGTTGAGATATCATGATTAACTCTGTGAGAGTGGATCAAGAGCCTGTCTGACAGAGTGCGATTCGACTCAAATCCTCATCAGCGATAACCAGCGATCATATAATAAATCAATGCTGTCTGTCTGTCTCTACAGCTACAGCTACAGACGCTATACTACACAGCCATACAGATAAACCCAAACACAGCCGTGGCTCACGAATGTCCATTAATGAGAGTGACATGTTTTCATTCATGTCACCGAACGGGATAATCACAATTGAAGGCCGTTCAGATTCAGAGCAATCTGTAATCCGTGATGAATGTCTTTATGTGGGCCAGAGCCATTAACAGACACACGCCAGACAAGATAATGATCGTTCGTTACACTATTTCACTAATATCAGCCATATAATACATTCAAATTGATTATCAGCTCATTTAATTAGTATTAGGAGGCAGGATTTACATTTTAAATATACATATTACCCAAAATGTAACTATAAACCACTCAAATCATCTGAATTCAGAACAAACTGGCTTTTCAAAACAAAGCCTGGATTAGGGATGGCTCGATACCACAATTTTGACTTCGGTACGATACTAGGCTCTAATACCTCGGTGTCGATACTAAATCGATACCATAGGTGACAAATAACCAGCCTCAAAATATAAGTGAATTGAAAACAATTTTATTAAACGCACTGCTTGGAACTCTGCATGAAAAATTGTGCAAACAAAATGTAAAAAAAAAAAACCTACATTGAACATAGGTCAGATTTTGATTTTGAAGAAAAAAAACTGAAGAGATAAAATTAAAATAGGATCATCTCTTCATATCTTTTCAGTCTTTATCACATGGTGCAAAGAAAATGTATCAGAATGTAACAACAAAAAAAACCTAGAGTAGAGTTTACAGGTTAAATGTTGATTTTGGGGTTATGGGACTGAATAAAATGGGTTCACATCTTCATATATTTTCAGTCTTTATTTTTTTGCTAGCTCCTTTGTTAGCTGCAGATTTTTGGACAGGAAAACTAATGTGTCAACGCTGTCACTTGATAGTCTGGACCTTAGTGGGCTACAGATCAGGCCTGATGTACTGAAAACTCTCTCAGAGGCTGAGCTTGATGCTGGAATGCAAAGGTAATATTTGGCAAATGTTGAAAGAATGGGGAGGCTTGATTCATGCCTTTTCCACCGAGAAAGTGGGTTTTCTGTGACGCTGGTCTCTTCCATGCTCTTGTATGTGTGGACTAGGGCTGCACGATTAATCGCATGCGATATTTAACGCGCATCTTATCAGTAAAGCCGGTTCTGTAATCAGCGGTAAATCTCCATCACGTGCGGGCTTTCACATTGAGCAGCATTAACTACACAGAGCCGTTGTTCACTGAGGAGCTGCGCAAAACCACGTCCATACTTAGCAGTGATATGCCCTTCATCACTATTACTAATACTAAAAATAATATTACTGATCTTTTTAAAATAAAAGTCTAAATTAAATCAGTTGAAAGAGACACATTTACCTGTCGATCTTTTAACTCCTTGAACAAATCAGGATGAGCGAGTGACAAATGTTCCCATGGCA